GCCTCCCCCTACCCCCGATAAAAGAAATCAAAGTGGTGAGAGCCAACACCAGCGCGACAGGCAGTGCGGGTTTTTGAGATGAAAGGTATTTAGAGCTCCTTTTTAAAGGCTACGAAGAAATAGGTCAGGAGAGCTGGGCGATTTGCTCAAGGTCACACAGGTTGACTTTCTGAGTGCTTAGTCAATACATCTTTTGGCTTTTGCGTGATGAGATAAAGATCCCTTAAGGATACAGCAAAGGACAACATTGAACAACTCAGACCGTCTGCTGGGAAAAGCCAGGCGTAGCAGGATAACCAGGACGCATGCAGCAAATCACAACTGAGGTGGCTCTTTGTAACTCAGTGACAAGCCCAAAGTCATTGCCCAAACAAACAAAAGGCAAAACACCAGTCTTAGCAAATAACTGCTTTTGACTTAAACTGAAGAGAATTTCTTTAGTTCACATTTGAGAAAGGACTCTCGCTATAGTAATGGTAGCAAGGGGAAGGGTTAAGTCCATATTGGGAAGGAGCTAAATTCCTAGCTCTCTACCTTTTTCATGAAAATGCAATGCTTTCTCCAACTTACTAAATAAAGAAAAAAAGAGTGGGGTGTTAAACATGTGTAGACCCACATGAGCCTGTGCCCAGAAGAGCTCTAAACTTTAATGCTCTGTTATCAGCATCTTGAAATACTTAATGTTTATAGAAAGGGCCCACATATTAATTTGGCATTGGGCTCCCAAAATTACTTAGCCATTTATGGATCAAAAAAAATTATTTTGGTTGTAATTGAGTAGAGGTGAGCAATACTCAATTTGTTCCATACTCTTCTGTATGTCACTACCATGTCCAAAGCTTTGCCCACTTAGCTTCGTTTTCAGTACTACCATGATAATCCAAATTACCATGGTCTTTTCCTGATATTACATAAATAACTAATATTAGGCAAAATAAACTTAAAAAGTTACTAGTGATAAAGGATATTTTACAATGATAAAAGAGTGAGTCCAATAAGAAGATATACCAATATCAATACCTAACAACAGAGTCCCAAAATAAAGGAAACAAAATTGTCAGAATTGAAGGCAACAGTAAACAATTCAACAATAGTACTTGAAGGCTTCAATACCCTTCTTTCAATAATGGCTATACAAATTAGACTGATGGTCAACAAGAATATAGATTTAAACACTATAAAACAACTAGGCCCAATATACATTTACAAAATGCCCCACCACCAACAGCAGAATGCACATTATTCCCAGGTACATTCTCCATGAAACATGAAACATTCTCCAGGACAGACCATGATCTGGATCACAAAAGAAGCTTCAATAAACTTGACAGGATTATAGAAATTATATGAAGTATGTTGTCTGGCCATAGTGGAATACAGCTAGAAATCGGTAACATAAAGAAATTTGGGAAACTTACAAATATGTGGCAATTGAGCACCATACCTAAAAAGCCCAATGGGTCAAAGGAAATTAGAAAATACTTTGAGGTGAATGAAAACTAAAACACAACATACCAAAATTTTGTGATGCAGATACAGCAGTGCTTAAAAGGAAGTGTATAGTTGTAAATGCCTGAGAAAAGAAGACTTCAAACAAACATCTTAACTTTCCATTTTCCACTGAAAAATAAGAGCAAACTAAACAATGTAAGGAAAATGAAGAAAATAATAGGAGAATAGGAATCAATGAAATAAGAGAGTAGAAAACAATAGAGAAAAATCAATGAAACCAAGAGCTGTTCTTTGAAAAGATGGCAGCATTTGACAAAATTTATCTAGAATATCACCAAGAAGAAAAGGGAGAACACTCAAATGACTAGAATTAGAAACGATAGAGGGGCCAAAAATAAAAAGGATTACGAAGGAATACTATGAACAACTACGTCAATAAATTAGATAATTCAGTTGAAATGGACATATTCCTGGAAACAAACTTCTCAAGAGGAATCGGAGAATATAACTGGACTTTATAGCAAGTCAAGAGGTTGAGTTAGTAATCAAAAATTTCCCAGAAAAGCCCAGGCACAGGCCACTCCTGAATTCTACGAAACATTTAGAGTATGAATATCAACACCTCACAAACTCTTCCAAAACAGAAAAATGTAGACTAACGTTTTAATGAAAACATTCCATCTACAGTAGCATCATAAAGAGAAATATTTAGCAGTAAAAATAAAAAGTGTAAAGCTTGTATTATAAACTAGAGGCCCAGTGCATGAAATTCATGCACTGGTAGGGTCCCTAGGCCTGGCCGGCGATCAGGGCGCTCAGGTTCCCCTCTTCTCCACCTCCTCCTTCCCTTGTTCCCTCAGCACTCCGCCGCCACTGGTTGCCCACCATGTTCCACATCGCCCCCTCGTGGTCAGCGCACATCATAGCGAGCAATTGAACTCTCGTTCTCCTGGTCAAACTCCCAAGAGGACACTTTGCATATTAGCCTTTTATATATATAGATACTATGAGACATAGTTGAAAGAAATTTAAAAAGGATAAAATGAACATAAAGCCATCGCATGTTCAGTTATTTCCTCAAAATGTTAAACTCAGAGTTACCACATGAACCAGTAATTCCACTTCTAAGTATAAGCACAATACACTGATTACACACACACACACGTAAAGCAAAGGTTTATATAGTAGCATCATTCATAGTAACTCAAAAGGTGGAAAATATCCCAGTGCCCATCAATTTGAACGGTTAAACAAAATATAGCCTATCCATAGAATAGAGCATCTGGCAATAAAAAAGAACACAGTGTTGACACATGCTACAACATAGACGAACCTTGAAAATATGCCAAGTGAAAGAGGCCAGACATAAGAGATAACATATTATGTGATGCATTCACTTACATGACATGCTCAGACTAGGAGAGTTTCTGGAGACAGACAGTATATTGTACTTACCGGAGACGGTCACTTGCTTCAGTACTTGTGTCCATGACACAGATTATTAGCTCAGTAGCTTCCAATGCGGACTCTAATGTCACAAGGCCTGTGTGCAAATCCTGGACCCTCCCTTTATGGAGGGGCTTTGGGCAAGTCACTCAACCCCTCTGAGCCCCCCAAAATAGGCTTCAATCGTGTTAGGAAAAAGGGAAGTGGTGCCTCGGCATTATTTTAAATGTGGGGCAATTTTAATTTTATAAAAATTTCCTCCAAATGGCAGGATGTATCTCGTAATACTGTGTACGGATTCGATGGATATTACACTGAGGGGACTCAATAAGTAGTAGTCATTGTTATTAGTTTATGTTAAATACATTAATTTAATAGATGAATTCTCTTTAAAGTCTAAATTACAAAATGTTTTGTGTCAATAAAATCTTTAGCGAATACACTCTATTCCCCCCCCCCCACCACCCCATTTTTTGATTTGGTGGTTAAGCTCCGAACTACCTATCAGTTCTTACTATATATATAAAGTATTTTTTAAAAAATATTAGAGTTTCCAGCTTTATAGCTTTTGTTTATGTTTTTCTTTTCTAATCTCAGATTTGCTCTTTCCTGCAGATTTATTGTCCAAATAAAATTAAGACATGAAAGCAGCTGAGAAGGCTCACTGAACCTACACTGGGAACTACATCCCTTTCCAAAATAAGCTCCTTTTTCCTTCTACTTGAGGCACCTCGGGCGTGCATGCACGTGTGTGTGTGTGTGTGTGTGTGTGCGCGCGCGCATGTGTGTTTTAAGCTGGAGGTAAATGATAGAAACTGAAGCTCAGGGACCTGTCCTTGGAGGACCTTTGGTTGTGAGCAGACCTAGGAGCCCCGCCTCCCAGCAGAGTGGCCCCTGCTTAGACGCACAGCAGCTTCCCAATACTGTGCAGGTACTGACACTAAAATGCAGCTCCCCCCCAAATCTAGTAAAAGCCCACCAAGCCCAGTCAACTTTTAGAATTCAAATTAGTTTTCGTTTTCAGGCATTTTCAGTGGAAAGAGAGAGGAAATATCAGTTCTCACCGATACTAACAATTCAAATACAAGACTGTGAAGTTCTTGCTGAAACTCACCAATTTTACATCTGTGTCTACTTGGCCTCCTGCTGAAAAATCCCAGCTTGCACTGACACCACATAATTATAAGTTTGCTTTGAACCACAATACACAGACATCAGAACCAGGATACTAGAGTGGTTGCTGGAAAAACCTAAGGTTGGCTGTACGCCGGCACGCTGTGGAGCGTGAGTTCTGAGGTCACTGGGAGAAGTCCCTTCCTCTCTGAGGTGATGCCAACCACTCAAACAGATGAGGTTCATTCGCATCATTTCCCCTCAACATTAGAGATTCTTACTCAGTTTCATTCCTAATTATATAAATACATAAGCTGTTCCAAAGTTAAATTTACCAAACCAAGTATAGAAACAAGTGCAAGCAGAGAATTCTGCCTTATATTCCTTTTCCCCTATCGTTCTCTCTCAGCCCTGCCTCTATGTAACTTTTCAAGATATTTTATAAGTCCTTCTTGAATGAATATTGGCACACGGACTTTTCATCACCTGGCGCATATAAAGATGTTTTTCATTACTTTTTACAGCTGCATGCTACCCGTGCTGGGATGCACTGTAACTGGAGGGTCCTGGGTATAAGGAAGGACTCTGTATGCATTTTTCATCAAGTCAGTCAAGTTCCTGGCCCTCAAATTTCCAAATTAAAAACTTCAATCATTAAGAAAATGTGTACTATTGAAGAATAGTACATAACAGCTTTGGGGGTGAAATGTAAAACTATTTGTCTTAAAGGCTATTTCTCTTAGTTGAGAATTCTTTTCGGTATAAGAACAGCAATCCTCCAGCTGCATAGCAGTGCTACTACTTCCAGAAACAGCAACGGAACAGGGGGCATCCTTGTAGCGAGATGGAGGTTCTGTATTAAACGGTCTTGTGTTTAGCAGGTTGGCAGGGACTATTGCTTTAACAAAGTATTCATTTTCTTCTCTCGGGTTCACAGAATTGACTACCTCCAAATGGACATAAAATCATAGCCTGTAATAGAGACTCACCACTACTGGAGGCGTCACTCAGGCTCAGCAGCCCCCCGCCGAGGCCTCGGTAACTATGGTAACTGTAGGTCCCGTTGCCGTTGATGTACAGCACCTCCTGAGAGCCGGACACCGCCGAGGCTGCGTGCGTGGTCGGGGCCGCCTCCGGTTTGCTCTGCTTGTCGGCTGGCGCGGACTTGTCCTACAATGACAACATTCCATTAGCAACCGAGCCCTGTGCGGTTTGACCGCGAGCAGGACTGTCTTATTCTTACCCACATGTCTGCATTGAACAAGAAAAAAAAAAACAAAATCCCGAGTCCCTAGGACAGTGATGGTGAACCTTTTGAGCTCGGCGTGTCAGCATTTTGAAAAACCCTAACTTAACTCTGGTGCCGTGTCACATATAGAAATTTTTTGATCTTTGCAACCATAGTAAAACAAAGAGTTATATTTTTGATATTTGTTTTATATTTAAATGCCACTTAACAAAGAAAAATCAACCAAAAAAATGAGTTCGAGTGTCACCTCTGACATGCATGTCACAGGTTCGCCATCACTGCCCTAGGAAGTCGACACCATGCACATTTTCAACAACTTTGCTAAAAACTGAAAAAAAAAGAAAAAGAAAAAAGAAAGCAAAGCAACAACATGAGATGCCATTGGAGATGGAGCAACTCCTGATTTCCCACTGAATTTCAATGTCTGAAGAGAGTCGTTCACCATAGCCAAGAGGTGGAAGCGAGCTACGTGTCCACTGACAGACGGATAAAGACATGGCAGAGAAACACAATGCGAAAGTACCCGGCCTTGAGGAAAGAGGGAAACCTTGTCACAGCCTACAGCGGGGATGAACCTTGAGGACACAAAGCTGAGTGACAGAAGCCAGTCACAGAAAGACGAACCTTGCATGACTCCACTTATATGAGGATCTCAAGTAGTCAAACTCAGAGAGAGAGGAAGTAGAAAGGAGGTTTCAAGGGGCTGGGGCCGGGGTGGTGGGGAGTCGTTCACGGGTCAGACTCTCAGCCACGCACCCTTCCTATTGCCCAGACCAGCAGCTCCGGGTGCTCTGCTCTCCCTCAGAAAGCCACTGTGAAGTACCATGAACACTGCTGGGCGCTCAGGTCTTCTTGCTGTAAAGACCTGTGGTCACTGAGACTCAGAGAATATCCTACACTGCAAAGCGATTTGGAGGCCCTCGGCAAGGGGCTGGCCTCAAACAATTCCACCAACAGTGTAACCTCCCAGTTTCCTGATTGAAAATAACTTGGGCAGCATAATAGAATTTCAGTTCCTAGTCTGGGGAAAGCGGTGGCTCTTCTGGAACATACCAGCCTACTTTCCTGTGATAAGAAAATGACAAATCACACTCACAGGAAGAGTTTCTTAATGATAAGAAAAAAGTGAAAAGGCATTGTCCCCACCATACTTTCTCATTGATTTTTAGTATAATAGAATGTGTATTGTTAAACATAAACACACTATATTTAAAATCTACCTCAATCTTTCATTATTAACTGTTATTTCAAGCCATTGTAACTTCACTGAACAGATAATTGATTCCATTAATAATCACAACAGGCCTTGTAGGGAGTCATTTGTACTTAAAAATTTACATTATTAAGGTTCTTGGCAGCCCACTATATGTAGAGAAATACAACACATGAAAATTCCAATAAAATCTAGTCTGCATTGTCTTGAGGAAAAGTTTAATGTGAAGTTAATTGATGCTTTTCTTTTGAATGATCACTAATATTGGTTTCAAAGAAGCACAGATTTTAATGGCATAAAAAATACCTCCTGAAGTCAAATGTTACCTCAGTAAGAACTTTTTAATAACTGCTAGTTCCCAAAGTCTCAAAATGACAGCTTGCCCCTGGGTTGCTGTGAAGATTATTTTCAAAAGAGGCTGATATTAATATGTTACAATACTGCATGTCTAGGCAATTTAATCAAACAGCAAAATTTCTATCCCAGCTTTGATGAGACGAATTTCAAATTTTCTTTTAAAAATTCCAGAAAAATAAGGTAGCTTGAATGACCTCCAGCAGTGCACTAGATAATACAGATCATTTTCATTCCGATTTCATTGATTAAAAATATACAATAGATTAAGCAGGGGTGGGGAATCTTTTTCTGCCAAGGACCATTTGGATATTTATAACATCACTCGCAGGCCATACAAAATTATCAATTTAAAAATTAGCCTGCAATATTTGGTCAGATATTTAATTAACTCACCCCTAACGCCTTGGCAGGGCCAGACCAAATTATTTCTCGAGCTTTATATAATCCACACACTGGATGTTCCTCATCCCTGGATTAAAGAAACACTTATGGTGCCCAAGCTGGTTTGGCTCAGTGGATAGAGCATTGGCCTGCAGACTGAAGGGTCCCAGGTTGTGGGCTCGATCCCTAGTAGGCTGGCAGCTGATCAATGATTCTCTTTCATCAATGATTTTTTTTCTCTCTCCCTCTCCCTTCCTGAATCAATAAAAAATATATTTTAAAGAAACACTATGGTGACTTCTATAATTAGGCTCTGGCCTTATCAATACACCCTTCAAGGTTCACCCATGTTGTTGCAAAGGCAAGATTTCACCGTTTATGGCTGAGTGGTATTCCATTGTGTGTGTATATGCACATCTTTTTTATCATTCATCCATTAATGGACACTTTGGTTGTCTTCATTCCTTGGATTAAGAGGATATTATGCTTAGTGAAATAAGTCAGATGGAAAAAGACAAATAGCTATGATTTCACTCACTCAGATGTGAAATATAAAAACAAAACAAAAGCAGACTTATGGAGGCACACAACAGATTTGTGGTTACCGGAGGGGAAGATGGTGGGGGGAGGGCAAAGCCAATAAAGGTGTATAGTGACAAAGGGAAGCTAGACATTTGGTGGTGAGCATGATGCAGTACATACCCTGCTGGTTGGTAATGCTGCATGCGTAAAGCTTATATGATTCCATAAATCAATTTACTTAATTTTTAAAAATTAAATATATCATATATATATACATATATGTATAATGTATTTCATATTTTTTAAATGGGCTAATAATAGGATGGGTGATTACTTATAGATGTGGGCAGGAATGGAAATGGTTTGGAAGAGTAAACATTGTCTACTCGTGACCCACCCATGAACACACTGTTTGAGAAGGCTGGTCAGTATTCCTTTGTACCCTACCCACAGAAACTGGACAGAGGCAAACTGAAGTTTGCTGAACCTGATCTGCTACTTGGGTTACACAGGTTGTGTTCCTAACCCACCGAAATGCCTAAGGAATCCTTCACTCAAGTATCTTAGACAAGTTTTGTCGCTGTTGTTGTTAATGAGATTTGCTTGATTCCAATCAACTTTCTGAAAGTAGGTTTCCAAAAAGTTAAAATGGGGAGAGTATTTCCAAAGATCTCTACTCTTTCTTAGACTTTACCTCTACCATCTACTGACATTTTCATTAGCTTTTCTCCGTCTATAAAGCTAATCAAAACAATAATCTTACTGCTACATTCAATAATCCAGTTACCTTTCTTCTGCTTGCCTTTTACCTCGCATTGTTACAGCAATTGGAGTTTGCAAGGCCTCAAACTCCACTGGAGTTTGCCTCAGTGTCCAATTACATTTTTAGTTCATCCTTGAGCTGGTCAGGGCACTGGGGACCCACCTTTTAAAAGTAAAGAAATAAGCAGAGGCCTCAGATCAGCTTATCAATGCAAAATAGGAAACCCATGGATAATGCTGGCATCATTCGCCTGAACTGTCTAGAGCAGTGTTTCTCAACCTTCCTAATGCCGCGACCCTTTAATACAGTTCCTCATGTTGTGGTGACCCCCATTTTCATTGTTACAAATTGAACATAACTAAAGCATAGTGATTAATCATAAAAACAATGTGTAATTATGTATGTGCTTTCCGATGGTCTTAGGCGACCCCTGTGAAAGGGTCGTTTGACCCCCAAAGGGGTCGTGACCCACAAGGTTGAGAACCACTGGTCTAGAAGATTGTTACTGGACATCTCCTGCCTTTACATGTTCTTGTAGTCTATGTAACAGAGCATTTTTACTTAAGTGAGTGCTCTGAACTTCTCCTTCGCTCTATTAGCATAGATGGGCTGAGGGAGTGCAATATGCTTCACGTATAAATTGCTGGAAAACGTGTCTGCTTTCTAAAAGCTTCTCTTCTCCAATTGACAGTAATTGTTCCAGAACTAAGCACATCGCTATGCGTTTCCAGGGAAATTCATAAAAGATCAGGGAGAATCAGAGGTCCCATTCAGACTGCTTTCCTAGGAAAAAAAATTGCATGCACTCAAAGTAAATGTGCTGATTACCTGGGATAATGAGAGGTGACTTATGATGCCATCAAACACACACACACACACACACACACACACACACACACACACACTCAGATATGTAATAACACTCAGGAAGTAATTCCTTTCATATAGTCGGAAGCATTCTGTACAGCCTCCTGCAATTGCTGGCCCCACAAATGATTAAAACGCCAACACAGAAGATAAGTCCTTGCAAAGATGCTCCCAGACCCACTAAGATAATAAGGACAGGCACGTTTTGTCTAAATCCAAGAAACCACGATCAGATTTGAAATAACAGATTTGGTTTCTGACTTGAGAAACCAAAATCCCCGAGGCACAGCTGTTACCCAGAGTTTTATCAAAATCTCTGAAGAACAGGTTATGTTGACAAACTCTCCTTGCAGCAATATTTTCACACACACATACTCACATGACTTTATAAACAGTAAAGCTTTGAGAACTGTTGCCTTAAAGAAAATTACAAAATAAGTAGGGTCTCCAACTCAAATATGTGTAAAAGCATGGCTGGCAAGAAGCCACCACGTACACGGCGACGTTATCTACTCTGACATTCTTCCTGGGGGGCATAACGTTTTATTATTAAAAAATAAAAGTAGAAACTTAGCACCTTTAAATTGCCATTTTAAATGTAATACTCTGCCATTTAGCTATTGACCAAAAAAAAATCTAATTTAAAAAGTATATGTCTTTTTCTATAGGTCTATAACATGCAATTTTGAATTCCTTTGTTGATATAACCAAAATGAAATTTAAAAGTACGGCTTCTTTGAGGTTCTAAAATCTGATTGCAGATATAAACCTTTTGGAAATAATTTTATATGCACATCATAGTAATTTCCCCTCAGAAA